TTTTTGAAATTTTAATTTCAATCATCATTCTCTATTTAGAACCAGTTTCCAGTACTGCTCCTCGTATACCCTCTATAATGAGTAAACCTTTTGAATTAAAACAAAACTCGGATATTTCGCTTCTCTGTCCGGCCCAAGGTTATCCAGCTCCCGTATTTAGGTAAACTAAAGATTAGACTAGACTATAGACCAAAGTTCTGACTATAGACTAGACTACAGTTAAGACTAGATTAAACTAAAGTTCTGACTATAGTTCTCATTATAAAGTACACTATGGTCCAGAATAGAGCCCAAACTGTAGTCAAATCCATATTATAAACCTTTCTATAGTTCTGATTATAGACCAGACTAAAAAACAGATTATAGACTAGATCATATACTTAATACTACTTTAGCTATCTTTCGAAACCATTCTTTAAAAATATGCATTTTCGTATTTTCTCAATTGGTTTGAAACTCTGCCAACTGGTTTATGTTCAAATTTTTAGTTCCTACCAACATTCAGTAGTTCTCTGTTTCGAATTTAACTACATATTCAGATTCTTAAACAATTTCCCTTTGATTTTTAGAGCCCATTTCAAGCAGTCCCCCTAAAACTCCTGCTTTGCAACAAAAACCTTTAGAACTCAAACAAAATAAAGATATTTCTCTATTATGTCCGGCTCAGGGTTATCCAGCGCCATTATTTAGGTAAGAAACGCCAATAATTCAGACAGTTTTCAGAATCCTAGATAATTGAAAATTTTTAAAAACTAACTCAAATTTGTTTTATATAAAATAGAACCTGTAGGGGGTAAAGCTCCTACTTTATTGTCTCATGACATTAAACGTTCTTGGATCGAACGTCTGCAATCGCATGATTTGGCTTTATTTTGTCCAGCTCAAGCATATCCAGTGCCAGCATTCAGGTTGTTATTTAAATTAAAGTTTAAATTTTATTATTTTCTACTATTTTAGTTGAGTTTTTTATCAAATTTGTTTGTTTTCATTATTAAAGAACCGGTTAGCGCTAAGGCTCCCACTTTGTCTGGTGACGTTAAATGGTCTGGTATTGAACGTAAATGGGGCGTTAGTTTTGCTATATTGTGTCCAGCTCAGGCATATCCAGTGCCAGTGTTTAGGTAGAGATTTTATTTATATATTTATATAGCTTATAGGTTTTATAGATTACGTCATAGTTTCGCGAAAAGTGCAATTGTCGAATCGTGACAGCTGCATGATTGTAGATAAATATAAAAAAAATTATCAAAAAATTGCGAGGAAAGTTAAAAAATTTATTATTTGTGTTTTTCAAAATAAATATTTTTGTAAAATATCTGGTGTTAATACCCTCCATGAATATAGACTATAGACTAGATTATAAACTATACTGTAGACTAGACTATAGACTAGACTATAGACTAGACTATAGACTAGACTATAGACTAGACTATAGACTAGACTATAGACTAGACTAAAGACTAGACTATAGACTAGACTATAGACAAGACTATAGACTAGACTATAGACTAGACTATAGACTAGACTATAGACTAGACTATAGACTAGACTATAGACTAGACTATAGACTAGACTATAGACTAGACTATAGACTAGACTATAGACTAGACTATAGACTAGACTATAGACTAGACTATAGACTAGACTATAGACCAGACTATAGACTAGACTATAGACTAGACTATACACTAGAATATAGTCCAGACTATATACTAGACTATAGTCCAATCTATAGACTAGACTATAGTCCAATCTATAGCCTAGACTATAGTCCAGACTATAGACCAGACCATAGACCAGTCTATAGACTAGACTCTAGTCCAGACTATAGACCAGACTATAGACCAGACTATAGACCAGACTATAGACCAGACTATAGAAAAGACTATAGATCAGAGTATAGATCAGACTATAGTCCAGACTATAGACCAGACTATAGTCCAGACTATAGATCAGACTATAGACCAGACTATAGTGCAGACTATAGATTAGACTTTAGACCAGACTATAGTCCAGACTATAGTCTATACTATAGACCTGATTAAAGTCCAGACTATTAACTAGACTATAGTCCAGACTATTCAGACTATAGACCAGACTTTAGTCGAGTATATAGTCCAAACTATAGACCAGACTATAGTCCCTACTATAGACCAGATTAAAGTCTAGACTATTAACTAGACTATAGTGCAGACTATTAACTAGACTATAGTCCATACTATAGACTAGTTCAGACTATAGATTAGTCCAGACTATAGACTAGCCCAGACTATAGTCCACTAGACTATAGACTAGCCCAGACTATAGTCCACTAGACTATAGACTAGACTGTAGAACAGACTATAGACCTGACTATAGACCAGACTATAGACCAGACTATAGACTAGACCTTAGTCCACACTATAGACTAGATTATAGTCGAGATTATTGACTAGACTACAGTCCAGATTATTGACTAGACTAGTTCAGACTATAGACCAGAGTATACAGCAGACTTTACACAAAGTATAGTCCAGACTATTAATTAGACTACAGTCCAGACTAAAGACTTGACTATAGTCCAGACTATAGACTAGGTATAGTCCAGACTATAGTCCACATTATAGACTAGACTGTAGTCCAGACTATAGACTAGACTATAGTCCAGACTATAGTTCAGACTATAGTCCAGACTATAGACTAGACTATAGACTAGACTATAAACTAGACTATCGTACAGACTATAGACAAGACTATAGACCAGACTATAGACCAGACTATAGACCAGACTATAGTCCAGACTATAGACTAGACTATAATTCAGGCTATAAACTAGACTATAGTTCAGACTATAGACTAGACTATAGTCCAGACTATAGTTCAGACTATAGACAAGACTATAGATTAGACTATAGACTATACTACAGACTAGACTAAAGTCCTTACTATAGACTAGTCTATAGTTCAGACTATAGACTAGACTATAGTTCAGACTATAGACTAGACTATAGTTCAGACTATAGACTAGACTATAGTTCAGACTATAGACTAAACAATAGTTCAGACTATAGACTAGACTATAGTTCAGACTATAGACTAGACTATAGTTCAGACTATAAACTAGTTATAGTCCAGATTATAGACTAGACTATAGACTGGACTATAGTCCAGACTATAAACTAGACTATAGTTCAGACTATAGACTAGACTATATTCCAGGCTATAGTCCAGACTATATATAGACTAGAATATCGTTATCTTAAATACTACATGTAGGGTATCATGTAGTCGTGTTTGTCTGACTTTTTCCATATTACCTGTTAGTTTCAACATTTTACGCCCAAATATTGAAAAACTGTTTATTTATTTTGTAAACCTCCACTATTGTTTTTCTCTAACCCGATTTTAATGGCCAATAAATCATTAATCGAATGAACAACTTTTAATTTTTCTAGTAAAATACTTTTTTTTTTTTTTTTTGTTCGTTTCTACAATATTTACACTCATTTGCAGACATTCATTCATACATTTTGTATTGAACGATACCTACGCAAACTCTACAACTGAAATAGTAAAATATACATACAAAAACAAAAAAACGTATTGAAAAATCAAGACTGACAAATAAAACTAAATAAACAATTTCGTATATAAAAAAATCACGTTTTATGACAGCTCACTCCATCTTGTGGTGGAGACCGGCAAAAATCGTATGAATACAAAACCACCCAAAGATATAACAAAACAACAAAGTATAACAAGTTTATTCATGCATATTTTACAACAACAACGACAATAAAGTGCAAACAAAGCAAAAAACACAAATAAATTGTTTACATTAAGTATACGCTCTCTAGACCTCTCACCCGCCTTCTGCTCAGATTTATTAGTATTTGTGATAAAAAGTGCCCCCATCAACAACTCTAACCAGTTAGTTACCCGGTATTTGTTTTTGTTGTGCCAATTTATGAAGTAAACAAAGTACAAAAGAAAATGGAAGAATTAAAAATAGCGGTTCTATTAATAACAGCTGTTTTTAGTTTGCTAGCTATCTCTTTCTTTAATAAAGCAACTTACTCTTTTACTCTTTAAAGCAAAGCGCAGGCCTGGAGAGAGAAAATTTCCCAAAACAAATGCCCCTTAAAATAAAGAGAGAGAACGAGCACCACAACTTGTTATTATTTATTTGTTTGAAAAAAGGGTGGTGGGTTTATTGTTTAGAATAGAGCGAGCAAAACAAATGGGAAGAAAAACAAATATTGCTCTCTCTCTCGCTTTTTAAGGTTTATCTCGAGAGTGTAAAAACCAGTTTGTTTTTAATTTTATGAATGAATACTCAAGCACGTTTTTGGGTCATGTTTACCAAACGTTCACTTAGTTGAGAGAAATTTTAATGACTTGTATAACCGGCGTGGGTGTGTTGGTGTATATAGGGTGGTCTATGTCTCTGTCATTCTCTTTTACATTTTGTTTTAATATATAATACAAAACCTTCCACCCAATGACTTGTTGCATTTTTAACGTTAAATCGTTTTGTTTTTGTCGCCTTGATTGGTAGTAAAATAAAAATGTCCTTGATACGGTTTTTTTGTGTTTCATTTACTCCTGACCTTATGTATGATTAACATTGACCTTTAACCTGATTAAAAAGTTTAAGGTTATGTGCTAGTTTTTAATTTGAATTATTAAATCAAAACTTTTAAAATGAAAAATGATTGGGACTTAAACAATTTTGGGCAGTTTTCAAGAAAAAGTTCAGAAATATTTATATAAACTTGATTTTCTAAATTTGATTTCTTTTTATCAACTTTAGAACCTATTGGTGCCAAAGCTCCCACATTTTCTTTGGAGTATTCATTAATAGAAGTTAAAAAAGCTCAGGGTTTAAGTTTTGCTCTATTATGTCAAGCTCAAGCCTATCCGGTGCCCATAACAAGGTAAAGAGAAAATAAAACTTTATCCCAACATTTATGACACTTTTCTAAAACTAGTGTCAATAAACTATACGATTTGTTTTATTATTAGAACCCATGGGTTCTAAGAAACCCGCCTTTCCCGGGGAAGTGCAAACTTTTTCTCATCATGCTGGCATTAATGCAACATTAGCGCTAACCTGCCAGGCTCAAGCCTATCCAGTGCCATTTTTTAGGTGAATATGTTAAATAAGAAACAGTTTCTCGAATAAAATATTAATTTTGCAAAGTAATCGGTTCCTCGAACCAAGTATTTAGTTTATTTCTAACAAGAAAACACTTATTGTTCTAATAATTTTAGCTTTAAACAAGTAATCACTTAGTTTTACAAGATTTTTAGCAGGATACTGAAAAAACATATAGTTTTGTTAAATAAGCAGTTAAATTTACAAAATAATCGGTTACTTTAACAAAGTAATCGGTTAATTTAGCAAATAATCACTTAGTTTTACAAGATTCCAATAATTTAAGCCAAATATCTTAAAACTTAAAGAGCATTCTTAAAAAAATGGTTATTTTTAGAAAGTAATCGGTTACCCAATCAAAATAATCACTTATTTTTACCAAGTAATCAATACGTTTGGAAAAAAAAATCAAATCAAAATTAGCACAGTACAATTTTTAGCCGAAAATTTTCTTTAAAAAGTAGTTATTTTTACAAAGTAATCGGTTATCTAAACAAAGTAATCGGTTATTTCAACAAAGTAATCGGTAGTTTAACCTTTTAGTTTAAGCATACAATCTGATCATTTTGCAAAATGCGTTAAAAAGTAAACAGTTATCTGAAACAAGCGGTTACTTGTACCAAATAATCGGTTACTTTAACAAAGTAATTGGTAATTTTTACATTATTATCATAGTTTTCAAAAGAACGTATAATTGGTTATTTTTACAGAGTAATCGACTACTTGCACAAATTATTCTATTTAAAATACAAAGTTATCGGTTACTTTTGCAAAGTAATCGGTTGCTTTTGGAAAGTAATCGGTTACTTTTGCAAAGTAGTTGGTCACTTTTGCAAAGTAATCGGTTACTTTTGCAAAGTAATCGGTTACTTTTGCAAAGTATTCGATTAATGTTGCAAAGTAGTCGGTTATGTTTGCAAAATATTCGATGTAATTTATTATAACAAAGTCATCAATAACTTGTGAAAAGTATGCAATCAATTTAACAAAGTAATCGTTTAATTTTACAAAGTAATTAATAAATATTACTAAATAATCAGTTACTTTCAGTTCAATCGGTTAATATTCAATATAAGCTCTCATATTCTTTAGCCCTACAAGTCAAAACTTATATTTTTACGAGAAATTCTTTAATTTAAATCGGTTACTTTCCTTAACAAATGGTTACTTAGTGCTAAATTTCAACATTCAGGCAAAATTTAACTTTTTAATTAAATTAGTTTTTTCTCAATTACTTAAATATAAATTTCTTTAACCTTAGAACCCATGGGCTCTAAAAAGCCTGCTTTTCCTGGAGGTGTCAAGACTTTTTCTTACGATACAGCCATTAATTCGACCTTAGCTTTAACATGTCAAGCTCAAGCTTATCCGGTGCCATTTTTTAGGTAAAGCTTAAGTTTTAACTTTAAAAATTTTACCATAAATCGTCCACATCCGGAGAGTTTTTCTTTTAATCTTTTAGGTATTAATGTTTGCTAATCGATTTTATAATTTTTAGAACCTCTAGGCTTTAAAGCTCCCTCATTCCCGAGTATTGCTTCTAGATTTACAGCGTTTGTTGCTAGAAATAAAACGATAGCATTGACCTGTGAAGCTCAAGCTTATCCAGTGCCATATTTTAGGTGATTATTGTTTACAAAGTAATCGGTTACTTTAATATTACTCGAAAACTTTAAAACCCCAACATTCAGGCAGTTTCTTAAAAAAGGTTTTTAACATTATTTAAACGTTTAACCATGATTGTTCATTTCAGAGCCTTTAGGCTTTAAAGCTCCCTCATTTCCCAGTGTTGCTTCTAGGTTTACAATTTTTGTACCTCGAAATGAAACTATCGCTCTAACTTGTGAAGCCCAGGCTTATCCGGTACCATATTTTAGGTAAACTTTTAAAATAAAGCTTAATTTTGCGTTTCTATAACTCGACGCAACTGGTTCTGTACTATTAGATTCGTATCTTTAAAATTTTCTTAAATTTGAATTCTTTTTAGAACCGGTGGGTGCTAAAGCTCCCACATTTTCCAGTGATTCGAAAGGTAGCATTTTTGTGCGCAACATTAACTCAAGTTTTGCTCTATTGTGTCAAGCTCAAGCTTTTCCAGTACCTATAATAAGGTAAAGAAAAAGCTTTAAGCTTTTCTAGGCAGTTTTCAATTAGTTTTTGTATTAAGACAAATTTCATTAATTCATGACACTTTTTTGTTTTTCAATAGAACCTGTGGGTGCTAAAGCTCCTACCTTTAACACCGACTCCAATGTATTTTCATATGTTCGTTCAATTGGTCAAAGTTTTGCTTTACTTTGTCAAGCTCAAGCTTTTCCAGTGCCCATAATAAGGTAATGATTTCCTTAAAATAAAAACATTCAGGCAGTTTTTGTAACAATTTTTTTTTTGTTAATGAATTTAAAATTTTTAAAATTCTAGAGCCTGTGGGTGCTAAAGCTCCTACATTTAATACCGTCTCCAAAATTAGCAGTTTATTGGGTAAAAGTTCAGCTGAAGTAGTATTGTTATGTCAAGCTCAAGCTTTTCCAGTGCCATTCTTTAGGTAAATTGTTTTAAATGAAAAGAAAAAGTTTTATATTTGAAAATTGAGAAAAAGTTTAATAAGCTCTGGAGAAATTGAGGTTTCTAAACTTGAGACAAAAGCTTTTTGGTATATCTCCAAATCGAACATTCATTGCAAAAACTTTAAGCTTTTTTATTACAAAAGATCTTATGACTTTTTTTGAAGCTTTCAAATGCAAATCATTTATAAGCTTTTTTGTGGAAATGTTTTGTTAAGCTTTTTTTCATACAAAAGCTTTTATTAACACTTTTATACAAATTATTTTATTAGACTTTTTAATGCAAATGCCGTTTAAGCTTTTTAAAAGAAATCTTAAAGAGCTTTTTTAATACAAAAGCTTTTGTTAAGACTTTTATGTAAAAACTTTTGTTTCCTAAAGCTTTTAATAAGATGTTTGCTATAAGCTTTTTACTTAGAAAATTTTAGAAAGTTTTTAATTTAAATGCTTTTAATAAGCTTTTTATTGCCAAACATGTAAATAAGTTTATAACTGCTCTAAGCTTAATAAATTTTTTTACAAAATTGTCATTAAAGCTTGCCTTAGGTTTCTTATTACAAAAGCTCTAAAAAGCTTTATATTGTAAAAGTTCTAAAAAGATTTTTTACCAAAGTTCGTAATGAATTATATAACAAATATTAAACAATTTAAACATTAATTGTTAATTAAGCTTTTAGTAAAAGCTTTTTCAACATTCAGGCATTTTTTCAATATTTATTTTCGAAAATTCGATTTCATTAAACCATTTTTGTCTATTTTATTATAATTTAAGAACCTTTGGGTGCTAAAGCTCCAGCATTCGCTTCACTTTCTAAGGGTAACATATTTTGGCAAGCTCAGGGTCAAGATATAGTCTTATTATGTCCAGCACAAGCCTATCCGGTACCCATACATAGGTAAATAATTGAAATATTAAAACAAACTTCAGGGCAGTTTTCAATAAATCATATTCTGAAAACAAACATAACTTTAAACTTTTGTTTACAGAACCTTTAGGTGCCAAAGCTCCCGCCTTTTCTTCCTCTTCGAAAAGTAGCACATTTATAGAAGAACAGGGAAAAGATTTGGTATTACTTTGTCAAGCTCAAGCCTATCCGGTGCCTATATTTAGGTGTGATAATTTATTACTTTTATGAAGGCAGTTTTCAATACTTTTATTTAAGTTTAAATTAAGCTTTAGATTTAACATTTAAATTTTTATTTGTTATAGAACCTTTGGGAGCCAAAGCTCCCAATTTTCCCTCTGCTATGAAAAGCAGTACATTTTGGGAAGAACAGGGCAAAGATTTGGTATTATTATGTCAGGCTCAAGCTTATCCTGTACCAATTTTTAGGTAAATTTCTCTCAATTAGAGTAAATTGAATTGAAAGCTTTCAAGATTAGGTTAAGCTTTTGGCTACACTACCAACTGGTTCTTTTAGGTTCTTTACATAAAAAAACTTAAAAAATTGTTGTATTTTTCCTCTATTCTAGAGCCCATGGGTGCAAAAGCTCCTACATTTTCTAGTGATGTATCTAGTTCCACTATAACACGTTTTTATGGTCAAAGTTTTGCTTTATTATGTCAAGCACAAGCTTATCCAGTGCCTATAATAAGGTAAAATTTAAAAAGCTTCATGACATGATTTACTTTAAAGCTTTTGGGATTAGGTAAAACTCTCGGCTACACTACCAACTGATTCTTTTGGTTGTTTAACATAAAATTATTAAAAAAAAAAAATTCAATTTTTCCTTCCTTATAGAGCCCATGGGTGCTAAAGCTCCTACATTCTCTAGTGATTTGGCTAGTTCCACTATTATACGGTTTTATGGTCAAAGTTTTGCTTTATTATGTCAAGCACAAGCTTATCCAGTGCCTATAATAAGGTAAAGTTTAAAAAGCTTTCACTCAAAAAAAAGCTTGTATCTATTAAAGTGATTCATTGCTAGTTATTTTAGGTTAAAATTTCTTTAATTTTCCTAATTGGTTTCTAAAAAATTTTGTATTTTTCTAGAACCTGTTGGTGCTAAAGCTCCTACATTTTCTGGTGAATCAAAAAGTTTTACATTTGTCAAAGAAATTGGTCAAAGTTTTGCCTTACTCTGTCAAGCTCAAGCATTTCCGGTGCCAATTCTAAGGTTAGTTTTTGTTTTATAAAAACCTATGGGCAGTGTGGGTCCTAAAATTTCGGGTGGACGTTTGCAAGAGGTTACTAAAAATGCTCAAGACAGTTTAGCCATCTTATGTTTGGGTCAAGCTTATCCTACACCCGTATTTAGGTACTTGTACATCAGGCAGTTTTCATTAACAATAAATTTATGTTTTAAAGAAATTTTATGTCGTATGTGTGTTCCATTTATAGAGCCGATTGGTAGCGTTGCACCTCGTGTCTCAGGTGATCGTTTGCAAGAACATACCATGGGTTTGGGGGATAGTTTTGCCATATTATGTCAAGCTCAAGCTTATCCTATGCCTGTTTTTAGGTAATTAAATATTCGCCTTAAAGGTTTCTAGCAATTCCGGCAGTTTTCTTTACTAAGTATTAAACTTTTTATAAGCTTTACTAAGCTTTTCTTTATTAAACCCTTTATCTTCAAACATGCTCTAATTTTCTTTTAGAACCTTTGGGTCACGTTAAACCCAGAGTCGCCACAAAGAGTATAGAATTCAGTGATGTGCCTCAAGGTGAAACTTATGTGGGCCATTGTCCCGGTCAAGCATATCCGGTACCAGTTTATAGGTAGAAAAACAAATAATATTTATATCCCTCCTCTTACCTTATCTATTTTATACTTATGTGGGCCATTGTCCCGGTCAAGCATATCCGGTACCAGTTTATAGGTAGAAAAACAAATAATATTTATATCCCTCCTCTTACCTTATCTATTTTATACTTATTCTATAGTCCAGACTATAGTCTATTCTGTAGTCCAGACTATAGTCTATTCTATAGTCCAGACTATAGTCTATTCTATAGTCCAGACTATAGACTATTCTATAGTCCAGACTATAGTCTATTCTATAGTCCAGACTATAGTCTATTCTATAGTCCAGACTATAGTCTATTCTATAGTCCAGACTATAGTCTATTCTATAGTATATTCTATAGTCCAGACTATAGTATATTCTATAGTCCAGACTATAGTATATTCTATAGTCCAGACTATAGTATATTCTATAGTCCAGACTATAGTATATTTTATAGTCCAGACTATAGTCTATTCTATAGTCCAGACAATAGTCTATTCTATAGTCCAGACTATAGTCTATTCTATAGTCCAGACTATAGTCTATTCTATAGTCCAGACTATAGTCTATTCTATAGTCCAGACTATAGTCTATTCTATAGTCCAGACTATAGTCTATTCTATAGTCCAGACTATAGTCTATTCTATAGTCCAGACTATAGTCTATTCTACAGTCCAGACTATAGTCTATTCTATAGTCCAGACTATAGTCTATTCTATATTCCAGACTATAGTTTATTCTATAGTCCAGATTATAGTCTATTCTATAGTCCAGACTATAGTCTATTCTATAGTCCAGACTATAGTCTATTCTATAGTCCAGACTATATAGTCTATTCTATAGTCCAGACTATAGTCTATTCTATAGTCCAGACTATAGTCTATTCTATAGTCCAGACTATAGTCTATTCTATAGTCCAGACTATAGTCTATTCTATAGTCCAGACTATAGTCTATTCTATAGTCCAGACTATAGTCTATTCTATAGTCCAGACTATAGTCTATTCTATAGTCCAGACTATAGTCTATTCTATAGTCCAGACTATAGTCTATTCTATAGTCCAGACTATAGTCTATTCTATAGTCCAGACTATAGTCTATTCTATAGTCCAGACTATAGTGTATTCTATAGTCCAGACTATAGTCTATTCTATATTCCAGACTATAGTTTATTCTATAGTCCAGATTATAGTCTATTCTATAGTCCAGACTATAGTCTATTCTATAGTCCAGACTATAGTCTATTCTATAGTCCAGACTATAGTCTATTCTATAGTCCAGACTATAGTCTATTCTATAGTCCAGACTATAGTCTATTCTATAGTCCAGACTATAGTCTATTCTATAGTCCAGACTATAGTCTATTCTATAGTCCAGACTATAGTCTATTCTATAGTCCAGACTATAGTGTATTCTATAGTCCAGACTATAGTCTATTCTATATTCCAGACTATAGTTTATTCTATAGTCCAGATTATAGTCTATTCTATAGTCCAGACTATAGTCTATTCTATAGTCCAGACTATATAGTCTATTCTATAGTCCAGACTATAGTTATTCTATAGTCCAGACTATAGTCTATTCTATAGTCCAGACTATAGTCTATTCTATAGTCCAGACTATAGTCTATTCTATAGTCCAGACTATAGTCTATTCTATAGTCCAGACTATATAGTCTATTCTATAGTCCAGACTATAGTTATTCTATAGTCCAGACTATAGTCTATTCTATAGTCCAGACTATAGTCTATTCTATAGTCCAGACTATAGTCTATTCTATAGTCCAGACTATAGTCTATTCTATAGTCCAGACTATAGTCTATTCTATAGTCCAGACTATAGTCTATTCTATAGTCCAGACTATAGTCTATTCTATAGTCCAGACTATAGTCTATTCTTTAGTCCAGTTCATTCTATAGTCCAGACTATAGTTTATTTTATAGTCCTGACTATAGTAAATTCTATAGTCCTGACTCTGGTCAATTCTATAGTTCAGACTATAGTCTATTCTAAAGTCCATACTCTGATCTGTTCTAAAGTCCAGACTCTGGTTTGTTCTAAAGTCCAGACTCTGGTCTGTTCTAAAATCCAGACTCTGGTCTGTTCTAAAGTCCAGACTCTGGTCTGTTCTAAAGTCCAGACTCTGTTCTGTTCTAAAGTCCAGACTCTGGTCTATTCCATAGTTCACACTCTGGTATATTTTACACTCCAGAAAAAGATTCCTTAGGTCGTCAATAGCTTTTCATTTTAAACTCTACATTGGTTTCTGCCTGTAAAGCTTTCTTCTCTTAAGCTTCGTTGTGATCAAAGTTTTAAAAGTTTTTGTCCCTTTAGATCCAATCTTTTGAATAACTTAGGGATTTAGGGTTTCGCATTAGGGAGAAAGAAGAAAAAACTAAAAGTGATTTTGAAACTTTAACTTAAAAATGAAATGCATAAAAGCTCTTACAAATTGCCAGACTTAAAGGTAAGTTTAAAAGCTCACACCACTAACAGCCGCAAAAGGTAAGTAGTTATAGAAAGCAGCTCGGTGTTAAAAGCTATAATTTGTATTAGAAAAGTAGTTTTATTGGCTTTTATTTTCTAAAAATCAAAAATAAAACTTTTTACAAATGTTTAATTCACAATCATTTCACATTTCAATGTGCTTTATTTATATGTCAGTGTATGAGCAAGATCGCCAAAACAAAGCTGTAGCATTTCATTTTTAACATTATTTCAATTTCCAGATCATTTTTAGTTTTTTTTTCAGCCAAATTTACAGAAAGGCTTAATACTAATAATGATTTTAATTTCTCTTTCAGATGGTACAAATTCATTGAAGGCACAACCCGTAAACAAGCTGTTGTATTAAACGATCGTGTTAAACAAGTTTCTGGTACTTTGATCATTAAAGATGCTGTTGTTGATGATTCAGGCAAATATTTGTGTGTTGTTAATAACTCTGTGGGCGGTGAATCTGTTGAAACTGTCTTAACTGTTACTGCTCCCTTGTCTGCCAAAATTGATCCTCCCACACAAACTGTTGATTTCGGACGTCCCGCTGTTTTCACCTGCCAATATACCGGTAATCCCATTAAGACCATTAGCTGGTTAAAGGATGGCAAAGCTATGGGCCACAGTGATCCCGTTTTACGCATTGAATCCGTAAAGAAGGAAGACAAAGGCATGTATCAGTGTTTCGTACGCAATGATCAGGAATCGGCTGAAGCTAGTGCTGAACTGAAATTGGGCGGCCGTTTTGATCCCCCCGTTATTAGACAAGCCTTCCAAGAAGAAACCATGGAACCTGGACCAAGTGTATTCCTAAAGTGTGTTGCTGGCGGTAATCCTACACCTGAAATCTCCTGGGAATTAGATGGCAAAAAGATTGCGAACAATGATCGTTATCAGGTTGGACAATATGTAACAGTTAATGGTGATGTTGTGTCGTATTTGAATATTACATCGGTACATGCTAACGATGGTGGTCTGTACAAGTGTATTGCGAAGAGTAAAGTCGGTGTTGCTGAACATTCGGCTAAGTTAAATGTTTACGGTTTACCCTACATTAGACAGATGGAAAAGAAAGCTATTGTTGCTGGTGAAACATTGATGGTTACATGTCCCGTTGCTGGTTATCCAATTGATTCGATTGTTTGGGAAAGAGGTGAGTAAAAGAATATCATGGCAGTCCTCTTTCAGAAAAATAAACTATACCAAATAATAGACTAGACCATAGACTAGACTATAGACTAGACTATAGACTAGATTATATACTAGACTATAGACTAGACTATAGACTAGACTATAGACTAGACTATAGACTAGACTATAGACTAGACTATAGACTAGACTATAGACTAGACTATATACTAGACTATAGACTAGACTAGACTATAGTCTAGTATATAGTCTAGTCTATATACTAGACTATAGACTAGACTAGACTATAGTCTAGTATAGTCTAGTCTATAGTCTAGTCTATAGTCTAGTCTATAGTCTAGTCTATAGTCTAGTCTATAGTCTAGTCTATAGTCTAGTCTATAGTCTAGTATATAATCTAGACTATAGACTAGACTATAGACTAGACTATAGACTAGACTATAGCCTAGACTATAGACTAGACTATAGACTAGACTATAGACTAGACTATAGCCTAGACTATAGCCTAGACTATAGCCTAGACTATAGACTAGACTATAGACTAGACTATAGCCTAGACTATAGACTAGACTATAGCCTAGACTATAGACTAGACTATAGACTAGACTATAGACTAGACTATAGACTAGACTATAGACTAGGCTATAGACTAGACTATAGACTAGACTATAGACTAGACTATAGACTAGACTATAGACTAGACTATAGACTAGACTATAGACTAGACTAGACTAGACTATAGACTAGACTATAGACTAGACTATAACTAGACTATAGACTAGACTATAGACTAGACTATAGACTAGACTATAGACTAGACTATAGACTAGACTATAGACTAGACTATAGACTAGACTATAGACTAGACTATAGACTAGACTATAGACTAGACTATAGACTAGACTATAGACTAGACTAGGCTATAGACTAGACTAGGCTATAGACTAGACTAGGCTATAGAATAGACTAGGCTATAGACTAGACTATAGACTAGACTATAGACTAGACTATAGACTAGACTATAGACTAGACTATAGACTAGACTATAGACTAGACTATAGACTAGACTATAGACTAGACTAGGCTATAGACTAGGCTATAGACTAGACTATAGACTAGACTAGGCTATAGACTAGACTATAGACTAGACTATAGACTAGACTATAGACTAGACTATAGACTAGACTATAGACTAGACTATAGACTAGACTATAGACTAGACTATAGACTAGACTATAGACTAGACTATAGACTAGACTATAGACTAGACTATAGACTAGACTATAGACTAGACTATATACTATAGACTAGACTATAGACTAGACTATAGACTAGACTATAGACTAGACTATAGACTAGACTATAGACTAGACTATAGACTAGACTAGACTAGACTATAGACTAGACTATAGACTAGACTATAGACTAGACTATAGACTAGACTATAGACTAGACTATAGACTAGACTATAGACTAGACTATAGACTAGACTATAGACTAGACTACTAGGACTAGACTATAGACTAGACTATAGACTAGACTATAGACTAGACTATAGACTAGACTATAGACTAGACTATAGACTAGACTATAGACTAGACTATAGACTAGACTATAGACTAGACTATAGACTAGACTATAGACTAGACTATAGACTAGACTATAGACTAGACTATAGACTAGACTATAGACTAGACTATAGACTAGACTATAGACTAGACTATAGACTAGACTATAGACTAGACTATAGACTAGACTATAGACTAGACTATAGACTAGACTATAGACTATAGACTAGACTATAGACTAGACTATAGATTAGACTATAGACTATAAATTCTAGCTATTTTTAACTTTATTCTCTTGATTTTCTTTTTTAGATAACCGTGCTTTACCCATTAACCGCAAACAAAAAGTCTTCCCCAATGGCACCTTAATCATTGAAAATGTTGAACGTAACTCCGATCAAGCAACCTATACCTGTGTAGCTAAAAATGCTGAAGGTTACTCTGCACGTGGTTCATTAGAAGTACAAGTTATGGGTAAGTTCTAAAAGTTTCCTTTTATAGATCAACATTGCAAGATAAATGTTGATCATGATTTTTTTATTAAAAAATTTGAAAAAGGCAGGGAGAAACAACAAAGAAATGGATCCGAAAAGTATAGGGAGGTATTTCATGTTATAAAAATTTTGGAATTTTGATTTCTAAAGTCCATGTTATATAAAAGTCCGTCCGTTTTGTTTTAGATAAATTTGAATAGTTTCTTTGTTGTTTTCCCGGCCTGTTTTGTGACTTATAGAAGTTTTCGATAAAGTCTACGTTCATATCAAAATTTTACTAAAATCATCGTGGGTTTGTTGGTTCTTCTTCCTCTACAGCGTTGTTGTCTTTTTGGGGAATTAATAAATATTGAAAAAGGGTTCAAAATTATTAAAAAAATTAAGTTGTTTTTTATTTTTAAATAAAAATCTTTGCAATTTTGGTACCATAGCATTTAAAGTACTACAAAAAGTACTTATTTGGAATAAGGAGTTAAAAAACGGTACCGTTTTTTGAAAGTAATCTAAAGGTCTTCTATAAGATTTGATAACTTTGTTTCAATTCAAATTTAGTTGAAGAAAATTTTCAAAATTTCCATAATTGTTTTAAAAAGGTACAATTTTTTACCCCCTTTTTTCTAAGAGAACACTTTGTTTTACTTTAAATGTTAAAAAAAAAATCAATTTATCAGAAATTATATTTTTTAACATTTTTAAATGTATTTTGTTCCCGTTATATAATTAGTACCACCCCAAATAGTACCATTTGATTTTGGTTCCGATATCATTAACATGAACGATATGGTTTCGGCAACATGTACGGTTAATAAGGGTGATACACCCTTGGATCTACATTGGACCACAGCTCCCGAACCCACATTGGGTGCGGGACGTCTAATGACCAACGATGGCATACTTATAACAAAAACTACACAACGTATTAGTATGTTGAGTATAGAATCGGTACATGCTCGGCATCGGGCCAATTATACATGTGTGGCGCGTAATGCAGCAGGAGTGGCATATCATACGGCCGAGTTAAGGGTTAATGGTGAAGATGAGAAATATTTTTGATCTTTTTTTTTGAATTGAAATAAAATTTTCAGTAGTTTTGTGTTAAACTTAAGTTGTTTTTAACCCCTTTTTTGTGTTTTGCTCCTAAGTATTGCCCCAGATAGTGCCCTTCGATTTTGGTGAGGAAAGTATTAATGAATTGGATATGGTATCGGCTTCGTGTACCGTTAATAAGGGTGATATGCCCATTGATGTGGGCTGGCTTAAGAATGGTGGTCGTGTTTATACCAATGACGGCTTGGTTGTGGCCAAGATGAGTCAACGCATGAGTGTTTTGAGCATAGAATCGGTGAGAGCCCGTCATGCTGGCAATTACACCTGTGTGGCCACCAATAATGCTGGTGTAACCAAACATTGGGCCGTTTTAAGAGTCAATGGTTAAAATTTGAACTATTTGTTAATTTATTTGTAAAATTTTTGTTTTATGTTTTTCATTTTATTTTCAAAATCCCTCTTTTTTTCTTAAGTATTACCCCAAATTGTGGCCTTTGACTTTGGTGAGGAGAGTGTTAATGAAATGGAAATGGTTTCCACTTCATGTACGGTTAATAAAGGGGATTTACCCTTGGATATTTATTGGATGAGAAATGGTGGCCGCATTTATACCAATGATGGTTTGGTGGTCATGCGCAATAATCAACGTTTAAGTGTTTTGAGCATAGAATCGGTGAGGGCACGACATGCTGGCAATTACACCTGTGTGGCTACTAACAGCGGTGGGGTTACCATAGCCTCGGCTTTATTAAAGTTAATGGTGGGCCTAATATATAAAAAGTTTTTGTTTTCTTTTAATTAGTTTCTTTTAGTTGTTGTTTTACACTTTTCTTTCGTTTTCCTTTTTCAAGTTTTACCTCAAATTTTACCCTTTAACTTTGGTGAGGAAAGTATTAATGAATTGGATATGGTTTCGGCCTATTGTACGGTTAATAAGGGTGATTTACCTTTGGATATATATTGGACTCGTAATGGTGGTCGGGTTTTTACCAATGATGGTGTTATTGTCACGCGCACTAGTCAGCGTATTAGTGTTTTGAGTATAGAATCGGTTCGTGCCCGTCATTCGGGAAATTATACTTGTGTGGCAACGAATAATGCAGGCGTTACTACACAATGGTCTTTGCTGGCCGTTAAGGGTTTGTTGGGTTTAATTTTCTGTTGAAGTTTTAATAATTTTAATAATTTTTCATATTACAAACTTTGTTTTCTTGTTATAATTCCCCAAAAACCTACACAATTATCAAATATTTGTTAAAATCAGATAACGTCGAAACCATTAAAAGTATTAACTCAGAAAATATGCATATTTTTGTTTCCTACAAAATCCGTAGTTCCCCCACAAATAGTACCCTTTAGCTTTGGTGAGGAACCCGTTAACACCGGCGAAAGTGCCGGAGTACAGTGTATGATTCAAAAAGGTGATACTCCCATTAATATCAAATGGACCTTGAACTCGCGACCCTTAATTAACAATGAAGAAGGTATTACGATAATGAAAATGTCAGCGAAATCGAGTGTTTTAAATATTGCCAGTGTGGCGGAAAATCATAGAGGTTTATTCCGATGTATAGCGGAAAACAAGGCTGGATCGGTCTTCTATGCTTCTGAATTAAATGTCAATGGTATTTGGTATTGTTTAGTTGGTTTTCAAATTTTGTTTTTGTTTCCTTAAATTATAATTTTTGTTCCACTCCAAAAAAAATTTTAATATTCTAACTCCTTCCGATATTTTATAAACAAAATGAATTTAGACCGATTTTTAAAAATAAAAACTGACTGGACTGCTGTCTGGTCTATAGTTTTTATAATATACTGGTATAGAGTCCAGTCTGTAGTCTTCACTATAGACTGGACTATTGTCTAGTCTAGAGTCCCGTCTGTAGACTAGATTGGAATATTGTCAATAGTTTTGACTACTGATTGGACTTGTCTAGTCTATAGACTGGACTACTACAGTCTGGACTATTGTAGTCATAGACTGGACTACAGTCTATGACTACTTCTAGTTTAGTCTATAGACTGGACTATTGTCTATTCTATAGACTGGATTACTGTCTAGTCTATAGACTGGACTACTGTCTAGTCTATAGACTGGACAACTGTCTAGTCTATAGACTGGACTACTGTCTAGTCTATAGACTGGACTACTGTCTAGTCTATAGACTGGACTACTGTCTAGTCTATAGACTGGACTACTGTCTAGTTTATAGACTGGACTACTGTCTAGTTTATAGACTGGACTACTGTCTAGTATATAGACTGGACTACTGTCTAGTATATAGACTGGACTACTGTCTAGTGTAAAGACTGGACTACTGTTTGGTCTACTGTCTAGTCTATAGATTGGTCCACTGTCTAGTCTATAGACTGGACTACTGTCTAGTCTATAGACTGGACTACTGTCTAGTTTATAGACTGGACTACTGTCTAGTATATAGACTGGACTACTGTCTAGTATAAAGACTGGACTACTGTCTAGTATATAGACTGGACTACTGTCTAGTCTATAGACTGGACTACTGTCTAGTCTATAGACTGGACTACTGTCTAGTTTATAGACTGGACTACTGTCTAGTTTATAGACTGGACTACTGTCTAGTATATAGACTGGACTACTGTCTAGTCTATAGACTGGACTACGGTCTAGTCTATAGACTGGACTACTGTTTGGTCTACTGTCTAGTCTATAGATTGGTCTACTGTCTAGTCTATAGACTGGACTACTGTCTAGTCTATAGACTGGACTACTGTCTAGTTTATAGACTGGACTACTGTCTAGTATATAGACTGGACTACTGTCTAGTATAAAGACTGGACTACTGTCTAGTATATAGACTGGACTACTATCTAGTATATAGACTGGACTACTGCCTAGTGTAAAGACTGGACTACTGTCTAGTCTATAGACTGGACTACTGTCTAGTCTATAGACTGGACTTCTTTCTTGTCTATAGGCTGGACAACTGTCTAGTCCTTAGATTGAACTAGAGTCTAGTCTTTAGTCTGGACCACTTTCTAGTATTTAGACTGGACTATAGTCTTTACTATATTTAAGACTATAGTGTTTAACTTCTCCCAACATTTCATCTAAAAAGTATATTTAGTTCGGTCACCCCAGTGTAAAAATTTTATATTGAGAAGTCTTCCTTTTCTAACTCTCCCCGCCGTTTGTAGTACCTCCTCAAATAGCACCCTTTAGTTTTGGTGAAGAACCTGTAAACACCGGGGAAAATGCCGGTGTACAATGTATGATACAAAAAGGTGATACACCGCTCAACATAAAATGGACCTTGAATTCAAGACCTCTAATAAATAATGAAGAAGGCATAACTATATTAAAATTATCGTCAAAAACCAGCGTTCTAAATATAGCCAGTGTAGCGGAAAATCATAGAGGTCTATTCAAATGTATAGCGGAAAATAAGGCAGGAACGGCCTTTTATGCCTCCGAATTAAATGTCAATGGTAGAGGGCTATAAACTAAAAAAAAAACTATAAATTTAATTTGTTCTTTAAGTTTTTTTCTTTGATTTTATTTTAAATCCCCCTTTCTTTGTATTAATAGTTCCTCCCCAGATAATGCCTTTCTATTTTGGTGATGAACCCATGAATATGGGTGATATGTTTGGGGCTCAGTGTATGGTTAGTAAGGGTGATTTACCTTTAAATATCTATTGGACTTTGAATTCGCAGCCTATAGTTAATGGTGAAGAGGGTTTTACTTTAATCAGAATGAATCCTCGCACCAGTTCATTGAATATATTAGCTCTCGAGGGCAAACATAGGGGTATTTATCAATGTATAGCCAATAATAAAGCGGGCTTTACCTCGTATTCAGCTGAATTACATGTTAATGGTTAGAAAGTTTTTAAAATTTTCTTACTTTTTAATAAAAATTTAGATTTTTAAGTTCTTTGTTTTATGTAATTT